CCGGGACAGATGACGTGATGATGCAACATTCGTCCCTTTTATTTAAGTTCTACAAAAAGTTCGAATTCATTTCCTCGTCAGACGTGGATCAGCACCAGTCAGTTATAATGGAGTACGCCCAGCTTCTTGCCACTATCGTTTTGCTAATCGTCTTGTACATTCTTTTGGCAACAATAACTTAAAGGACGGTTACCGAGCTCAATGGCCACAAGACCAAGCTTATGATGTTTGGGATCGGCGGCGTCTTTTTTCTCGGAGTTTTGAGAACTGCCGTCTTATATTTCATAGAAGTGTCGTCGAAAGTGTTGGATATTTCCTCGAACAGTGAAGTGGATATCGTTATGCTGATCATCTTCTACACTCTTTTGGCAGCAATATATCAATGGACCATTATCTATAATATCGACCATCGAAATCATTTGTTTCCTCCAGATCTTGAGAATCGCTATCGAATTGTTAATGGGAATGTCGTTAGAAGTGTTAGCATTCCCGTCGAACCGTAAGGAATTTTTGTGGTTTCTGTACCGCGATGAAGTCCTCCAGTTCTATCGAGATAGAATTCAACGAACCTCTGTTTAGATCAATTTGACATGAGCCAATTTTTTTATTATTATTTTGGTTTTTTTTCACTTAAATAACATGAAAAAAATAATAATACCGTGTTCTAACGTATAAGATCAAATATCTGTTAACAAAAAATAGTAACGTGTTTTTTCTTCTAACTTCTGATATCGAATATATTTTGGAGAAAAAAACTATTTTGTCTTCATTTCATTTTGTTTGTGCCATCGTTCGGGACCGATGACATAGACGGCCAGTACCGATGACGTCACATTAGTTTTGGAGAGATGACGTAGACGGCCAGTACCAATGACGTCTTGTACATTCTTTTGGCAACAGTCGAGGACTCCCCCACGATCTCTTTTATTTGCGTCGATCGAGAACAAACTTGGAATTAATTTCAGACGTGGATCAGCACCAGTCAGTTACTATACTGCAATCGAGTCGTCAACATGCCTAAGTGTAAATCTGGTTGTAGCAAAACAGGTGAAAACAGTGTGAAAAATGGCACAACGAATGATAGATCTCGTCCGCGTACGAAGAGATGGTGTTTTACACTCGACAATCCAACCCAAGATGAAGGGGGAAATGCTCAAAGGGTTCATAAACAGGATTGAACGAGACCCAGAAGGAAACAAAGCAGCTCAAAATAACTAATCCGGTGCTGGGGTTGAATATGTTCAGTATACATATGAGTGTTGGGCTAACAGAACATTACACGTGCAGGGATAGCTCATTAGTTGCTATCGTAGACGCCTTGCTGGAGTCAGAGCGATATTAGCAAGGGCCCACTGGGAGCCCTGCAGAGGAACAGACATTACAGAAACGAACATTACTGTCTTAAGAATGCGGGATATTCTGAACTACATAACTCATCAGGTAGACAGAATAATGCTGCCGAACCTTATGAGGACAAACTGTGCTATAGCCTCAGTGGCTTCATGTTACAGAAAATGGGCGTTATGCTGATCACCTTCGATCGGAACAGATGACTTAGACGGCCTGTACCGATGACGTAACGACCGTCCCCTCTATTAAAGTGCTAAGACTGGGAGCATTCGAATTCAGTGTTCCGAGAAGATGAACATGAACTCTTGAGAAGCGATATAATGACAGATCGTCAGCGTTCCGTAGGCGAAAATTTATACAGGACAAACAACCAACGCCACAGAAGAACCGTTAAAAAATCAACTGAAAGATTCTTTCTGAGAGGCCTTTCGGATCGTATCCGAACGATAAAAAAAAATACTGCAACCGGATTAACCGAGATGTTCTTTATCAGAAGACCTGAAGATCTGCCAGCAGCAATTGCGAAAACGACAGCTGCAAGGAGCTGGGAGAGATTGTTTCTACTGACGACAAACAGGTGCCGATATATATTCTTTTATTATCTTTGAGATTGAGACGAGATTTTAAAAAGGAAAACTCGAGATTTATTAACTTGTTTTTCGTATCTCAGGCAGAACACGTCAAGAGATTCATAGAAACGTTCAGTCCGACCTGTGTCGTCTAAACGAGAAGCTGACTAAGATGGGTCTGACAGATTTAGAACACGGCGTGCTGGCTCACCTCGATCGTGGATGCAAAAGTAAACGAACGCATCGAAAGAGATACACACTTGAGGGAACGGCCGATACGCCACCGGAAACTGAAGGAGGTCTACAAATCGATCGCCAGCGATTGGTACAGGACATCAAAACCAGTTACGGCATGCTATGATTCGCCGGCAGTGAATCAACACATTATTTAACTGTAAATGAATAACGTTTATTTTCCAATATTTCATTATTATTACGGCATTCCATGATTCGCCATCACTGCACAGAATGGTTTAACATAATCGTTAAATACATTATGTAACTTTAAATGAATAACGTTTATTTTTCAACATCCGGTCGATCGTACGGTTTTCGATTGACGCCGGGCGAATGGTCGTAATGCGTGAGCGTAAATGCTCTGATAACGGTAAAGGTGTTTGGTCCTTTGTATAAAAGGCCAGAACCAAATCTGTTGCTACCTCACTTAAAGTAGATGATGTTATGACTAGTGATAATAAAACTGTAGCAGATGTATTTAATATGTTTTTTGAGACTAATTTTACCAATATTTCATCTACCTTACAATGTAATATATTGAATAATTGTAACTCGAACCACACTGGCCTTCTTCAATTAGCTCAAATTAAGACAAATCCATCTGAAATATTAAATATAAATAAACTAAAAACTGGGAAAGCCCGGATCAAATAACCTCAACAATGCTAAAATTATCTGTTATTTATATATCTGAACCTCAGGCTAAATTATACAATCTATCTCTTTCAAAAGGTAGTCCCTAGTAAATGAAAGATGGCCAGTGTGGTACCAAATCATAAATCTGGTAATATAAGCTCTATTTAAAACTACAGACCAATATCATTATGTTCTGTAGTATGTCAACTTTTAGAGAGAGTTGTTTGTAATGGATTCAATAGACATATACACAAATTTGGTTTGTATTCGGAGAATCAGCATGGTTTGACATCTGGCAGGTCTTGCCAGACTAGACTGTGCTTGCCATTGCCCACCATCACTGGGCAAAAAAGCTTGATGAACGATCTTCTCCCCCTGTTGATGTAATAACTTTGAATTTTGCCAGAGCGTTTGACAGTTTGAGTCACAGCGTCTTGCTCGGGAAGCTCCATCACTTTGGCATTTGTGGCCCAATTTACAATCGGTTTTTTCTAAAAGACAACAGCGTGTTGTCTTTAGAGGGACAAAGTCTAACACCTACATTGTCCAATATGGCGTGCCACAGGAATCGGTCCTTGGACCGGCCTTATTTAACATTTTTGTTTCAATAAAATATGCCAACGATGCTGTTCTCTATAGGGCTATCAGATCCCGAAGTAATGGAGTTTCCCTACAAGGTGATCTAGATGCCGTAGTGCATTGGTTAAGAAGTGTTCTGTTATGCGCCTTACCCGGTCACCAAATCATTCAAAAAATTATATTGAATATACGTCCATTGGTTCTGAAATATTGTATCATGTTACGTCTATGAAATATTTGGGGGTTACCTTTAATTCTAAACTTGAATGAGGGGACCACTTTTCTTCAGTTAAATCTAAAACAGCAAACATTTTGGGTTTCATCAAAAGACTGGTTAGATCCGATTATCTATTTGTTATCACCAAACTGTATAACGGTATCTGCAGGCCAGTTATGGAATATGCAGTTCCGGCTTGGTATCCAAACCAGAAGGGTCACATACAAGCGTTAGAATAGCCTGGGTTCCAGGCCCTAATTTTGGGTTACTCACTCTTTATTGCGCTTAGTGCGCGCCATACCTAATTTAATTGGCGTCCCATACTCGATTTTTATTTATTTTTTCGGATTAGGGCCTGGGCAAAACAATTCATGCGTACGATTTCCCACATCAAATTCGATGTGGGATATCGTATGCATGACTGATTTTGTAAATCTCGTGATTGGCTTACTTTATGCATATTAAATAATCTTGGTAAATTTTCAAAATTGAAGATGCGGATGTCTCGACTAGGACAAGCTAACCAGCTCCCTTCTGCCTACCTACTAGAATTAAAACAGTTAGTATATAGTTCTGGCATGCTGAGAACGACTATGGACTGATAACCGTAGTAGGCTATACTTACAGAACCTTGCTCTCCGCTAGCTGCTACACAAATTTAGGCCTCTCTCTTTCTCTTTCATTTCCAAATCTCTCTATGGTATATTTTCCTTCGATATCTTTAATTATTTATTACTATCGACCCTAGACGCTCGTTGAATCTTAAGTTTGTTCATACTTATTCTCGTGCTAATTCCTTTAATTTTTCTGTTTTTAATTCCTTTTCCCGTACGTGGGATAGTTTACCCAAAGAGGCCGGAGACATGCTTGTGTTTGGTATTGGGCCTTTTTTAAATAAACTCAAAGAGCAGTTTCGGAAGACGTAAGGCTGGCAATTTTTGGCAATAACGTTTTATGCTTTTTGTTATTGAGAAATTTGAAACATTTTTAATCTTTATTATCGAGTATTTTATCCTTATTATTATTATTATATTTTATTATTGAAAAAATGTTTTGCATTTTTATATGAAATTTTTATCTCTTATATCTTATATATTTATTGTGTTTGGCGACCCACTCGATAGAAATTTGAATCTCTTTTTGGGAAGCCTGCCTCCATTTTTTCTGTTTTTTGGTGTGTTATTTTTGTAATCTGTTGAGGTGGATAAATGAATTGAATGGAATTGAATATATTTTAGCATTCTTATATTCTTTCTGAGCTTGGCAAGGTTGATAACCGAAAACGTTTGCTCATTTGACTTAATATATATACCTGACAACTCATTACCATCTCTCCTTAATATACGGTGTATATCTGTCTCTTATACACAATACATATAAAAAACTGGAGGGCTGCATTGGCCTAACAAGATAGAAAAAACAAAATCTCCGGAGAGATGGTAATAAGTTGCCAGATATATAATTTTATTCAAGAGAGCAAACGTTTTCGGTTATCAACCTTTGTCAAGCTAAAGAAAAACATGAGAATAGCAAAATATATAGCATATGGAAGGCTCAAAACATGGTTCCCACAGAACAGAATGCACCAATAGGTGAGCAGAACAAAACGTAGTACCCAATAGAAAGCTGGTAAATAAAACAAAGCATAAAACAAAGGAACAATAGAACAATGGAGGGAGGAAGCCTCCCTCCCTAAAAAAGCACTGATGGGTGGGACAAAATAAGTCAGAGCAAAACATGGCAAAATAATATATAAAAAAGAAAAGGCTAAAAAAATCATAATCAAAATAAAATAAATAGAAATATATATAGAAATGATATGAAAAAAAAAAACATAAACATCAGCATAGTATATGGTATAACATATTCAGTAAATGGGCCTATTAATTTCTGAAAGATTTAAATGATATATTAAGTCCATTACGGGCAAGTGTTCCAAGCTTATATATAATACGTTCTTCAGTGTTTTTTCTCATGTTATCTGATCCATGGCACAAAGTCAGTCCGGTGATTTGAATGTCCTTGAGAGAGTGATTATTGGTAGAAAAGTGGGCGGCAACTGGAAGACCAGGTAGTTGGAGTTTGATGGATCGTAGATGCTCAGTGAAGCGATCACTCATACGCCGTTTGGTTTCTCCAATATATAATAGTTGACATTTAGTACAAATAATAGCGTAAACTATATTACAGGAAATACATGAAAAAGTGTCTTTTATTCTGAATGTACTAGCTGGTCCGTGGATGATATCGGTTGAGTAAACATGAGCACATGTTTTACATCGTGGTCGATTACAAGCAGTAGTAAATCCAATAGGTGGTTGGGTATGTGAGGATTTAACATCGGAATGAACTAGAGTGTCTTTTAAATTTTTATCTCGGCGCTAGGCATGCATCGATGGTGATGTGAATACATTATTGTTGGTTTCATCTGATGATAAAATCGCAAAGTTCCTGGTTATTACTTCGGCTACTTGTTTCGTTATCGGATGGTAGGTTAGTACTAGAGGTATTCGGTTGGTAGATGTGTCGCTTTTTCGAGGTTGAGGGCAATCTCCCGTGTCATTTGGTTAATTTTGTTAAGGCAGCCGTCGGTGATGTTGGTAGGATATCCTCTATTAGAAAAGAAGGACATCATTTCTTCGGCGCGTATTTGGAAGTCATCGTCCTGTTTACAAATTCGCCTGAGTCGAACTAATTGTGAGTAAGGGATAGAGTCTTTGCACTTGGGTGGATGTGATGAATCGTAATTTAAGTATGTGTGCGCATCAGTAGGTTTATAGTGGACGGTGGTAGATAGTGCGGAGCCCTTGATATGGACATCAATATCTAAAAATGTAACACTGGTAGGTGAGATCTCATGGGTGAACTTGATGTCTGGGTGGAAGGAGTTCATGTAATTAATGAAATTGGTGAGCTCCTCATATGAGCAAGATGCAGCTCCCACACAATCATCGATGTAGCGTTTGAAAAGCAAAGGTTTGGTACCATCGTATTCGTCGAATATTTGTTTCTCAAGGTAGCCCATGAATAAACATGTTTTGAGCCTTCCATATGCTATATATTTTGCTATTCTCATGTTTTTCTTTAGCTTGACAAAGGTTGATAAAATAAAAAGGTTTGCTCACTTGAATAAAATTATATATCTGGCAACTTATTACCATCTCTCCAGAGTTTTTGTTTATATATATATATATATATATACATACATACATATATATATATATATATATATATATATATATATGAGACATGAGATAGTAAAATGTTGCTAAGTACATATATTACATCAAATAGGCAACAATTTTTGGTTATCATTAATGAATATTTTTGTAGTTGTGAATCCTTCTAATTGTGGTTGTTTAATTTGTTGGTAAACTTTTATTTAGACTAACATATTTTTGGGCAATATGGATTCATTGTGTTAACTTCGCTATTATTGTTCCCACTTTTATTGTATTATTCTGCTGTAATAAGCTGTAAGCTGTGTGGTACTTCCTCGGACAGTCATAGGATAAAAAATCATTTTATATAATCTACTTTGCAAAACAATTTCTAAATTGTGTAAATGTAACAAATGTTCGTTAATTATTTTAATTAATATTATTATTAGGCTTATTGTATAAGGCCTATTATTTCTATTACTATTGATATATTCAATTCAATTCAATTTAACTTTTATTGTCAAACGCAGTGAGAACATGGTTTGAAATTCTTCTTGTTTGTTCACAGTTAAAATGTAAGTTAAAACAAGACACAAAAGATAAATTCACAGAAAAAACAGAGGAAACAGCAAAAATTTAAAAACAATAAAAGTCTGCTAAAAGATTAAAATGGCTAAAAAGGCCAAAAACATTAAAATGGGGTTAAAATTGGTTAAAAATTCTGTAAAAAATGATTTTTTTTTTTAATCTTCAAATATTTAAATAGTCTATATTTAGTTATGTGATCAGAAACTACAGCTACATTACACCTTATTTTACGGGAACCTTAAGTTGTTTATTTGTTATTTCATTTGTTTTATGAAATGACAATAATAATAATAATAATAATAATAATAATAATAATATTGGCAATAAATTGTTACAATACTGTAACTTACAAAGCAACTTTAACAAAATAGTAACGTTGCATGCGTTAAAAAAGATGCTGTTAAATTAGTATTAGAAACTTCTTAGTAGGAATACAACAGTACAGTAAAATAGTCAGCGAGTTCGTCAAACAAGGTATAAAAAAGTCTCGCCTTGGGTAGCTTCTTTTTAAAGAAAATCATTATTTCATTAAAAAAAACACAAGTTACTGAATGATTAAATAATTCTATTTTAAATAAAAAATGATTATGCACAGTAAAGGTAACATAGGACAACATTTAAAAGATCATTATATTAGTGCTACTGAAACTGTTAATTATTTAAAGGTTTTATCTAAGTGCAAATCCAAGTTTGATTGCTTAATTAAATAAATGCTTTGAATCAACAATCTGAAACCTACACTTAACAAACAAACGGATTCAGTCACTTCATTTCAGTCACAAAGTGCTACTGAAACTGTTAATTATTTAAAGGTTTTATCTAAGTGCAAATCCAAGTTTGATTGCTTAATTAAATAAATGCTTTGGATCAACAATCTGAAACCTACACTTAACAAACAAACTGATTCAGTCAAAGCCAAACTGTTTATCTAGTTAATCTGCTAAGAAGGGCTAATTATTGCTTAGCTCCACTGTGGCTCCACACAGTAGGCCCTATTGATATGTAAATTAATTACTTACTTCCCGTCACTGCTTGGTATTTTTATTTTTAGTTTTTTCAATTTACTTGATCTTAAGAATGGTTCCATGATGGACCCGAAACGTCAATCTTTCTTGTCATTAAATTTTGTTTTGAGTTTATGTTCTTAATTGATTTAATAAATAAAAGCCACAAATAATAATTTGATTTACTAAATTATGTAAAAATAGTTATGCTTTAACATAGATTAAAAACATGTTACGCCTTACTTATTTTTAATCTCTGGTCTTTTTAATTAATTTTCTTTTTTTTTATTGGGAATTCCGTAGTGCAGAGTAAATTTATCAAAACCCATTAGGTTCACAGTAATATGAAAAAAAAAATTAGTTTATACAGAAATAGTATCTAAAGTGATCTCAGTTTCCAAAGTTAAAGCAAAAGATCTAATCTAAACACACAATATTAAACAGGATGTATTTGTTTGGAAAAGAACCCACTCTTTTGTGAAATTAAGAGGTTTATAGGTGAAAATTGTAAATTTAGAAATTCAGATTAAAAACATGTTACGCCTTATTTATTTTTAATCTCTGGTCTTTTTAATTAATTTTCTTTTTTTTTATTGGGAATTCCGTAGTGCAGAGTAAATTTATCAAAACCCATTAGGTTCACAGTAATATGAAAAAAAAAAATTAGTTTATACAGAAATAGTATCTAAAGTGATCTCAGTTTCCAAAGTTAAAGCAAAAGATCTAATCTAAACACACAATATTAAACAGGATGTATTTGTTTGGAAAAGAACCCACTCTTTTGTGAAATTAAGAGGTTTATAGGTGAAAATTGTAAATTTAGAAATAATTTTTATTTTTTCCTTTGAACTGAGATCAATATGTGATTTTTTTAAATTTCTTTAAAAGCATTTGTTTTTTAACAATTACAGCAGATGCAAATAATGTTGTGAGAGATAATCGAAAAACAATGGCCATTGAATAACATTTTTTGATAGTAGAAATAAAAATTTTAAAAACGTTATTTCACTAACAAAGTAGAGGAATGACATACAGTATACAGTACTTCAACTACCAAAATATGCAACTCATAGATAACCACAAACTTCGCTTTTGTTAAATATCAAATAAATTAACTTTACATGTTATAAACAATGCAAATAAACAGTAGTTAAAGCATGTGGATCAATTGTGTGTTTGAATCACAAGTTCATGTATGGGAAAAGGGAGAGGCTTACTTTCTCGCAAACTTAGCAATAAATTGTCTGCTTAGAGTTTATTCAAAGAAGTATTGCTTTTAGTAAACTGAACAATTAGGAATACATTTATTTAAGCAACTAATTTAGTTGCATACTTGGTTTTTACTCATCAATAACTAAATCCAAGTGCCTACTACTGGCTTAGAATTATATATAGTTATGTATGGCAATTATGCTAAGAATTAAAATGGCGTGTGATTGTGAGGGTAGGGTAATTATGGTAGGATTAAGTGGTATTGCTAAATCCCACAAACCTCCCAAAACACACTGTAGAAAATCAAACAATTCAATTGTGATTGACTGACTTTGTATATCAGTAAGAAAATTAAATACATTCATAACTATTGTTTGGTTAAAATTTTAGATTTTTTATGAACAAATACTTGCAAATACACCACAAACCTCTAAACACACTGCAAACCCCATCTAAACCACATAATTATGATTGTAGAACTCTCTTTTTCTTAAAAAAAAAAGAAAAAATAATAATTGTTTGTGGGGTTTACCAATACACAGATTGAATTTCTGGAAAAATGTGATTCCGCTTCCGTGAAATCGGCCACAAGTAAATTATTTTAGTATTAATAAATGCATGATTTATGTTGATTTATTGATTATGTTGTTGCTATTTTTTAACATTTAAATGAAAAAAAAATAAAAAGTGTAATTCATGGCTTTTTATTTATCTTTGAATATTATATCATTGAATATTAATTCTTGCAAAAAGTAAAATGTAAATGGCAATTTGTTTGATGTTAGATTCCGTTTAAAAACTAAATTATTTAAGATAAAAAAATGCATATATTTAATACAGAATTTGATTATTGGGGCCATTTTTACCTACCTGTCTTATGGGGCCATTTTTACCGGGGCCATTTATTCCGGGGCCATATTTTCCGGGGCCATTTTTAATGACATTCTTTTAATCACTATTTAATGCTTTCTAGTGATGTTATATTTTGTGAAATGGGTGCTATATGACTGCTATTATAAGCTATAGCTATTGTATAACAGCCACGAACATGCTTTTAATCGCTATTTAATACTTAGCCATGTAATTCCTAACAGTTTTTGAAATTGGTGCTATATGACTGCCATTCAGTCTGTTTAAGTTTATTAACCGTTTCCTTCTGTTTCTGATGTTTTTGATCCTCTTCCTTTTGTCGATCATTACATTTGCTCTCTCCAATCTGTGACTTTTGTTATTACTTTGTAATCCTTTAAAATCCTCTCTGGCTACTTTAATTAAAATGTATTTATGCTGTGGGCTCGTCCTCTATTTCGCTCCTATGTTCAATATCTGTATTTCTTTTCTTTCTTTTTCTTTTTTGAACCAAGTATTTCCAATTGCAGGTTCCCACTCTGTATAAACACAACAAGCTTCTCTCCTATTTCGTTTCATGGACATACTAATAATATGCCAAATGAACCTATGTTATCTTGCACTCCTTTGCGTCTCATCCATTTTTTTTAGCATTGCTTGTTTAATTGCTAGAATGCTTCAAATTCTAAACCGTCGTAGTCAGTTGTGGGAGAATATGCTGTATGCTGGTTAATTTTGATGATTTTTCTAGTGCTAACGGCATGCAGATTATTCTACTGGAGTAGGATTTGAATCCGCAGACTGCGTTTATTATTCCTGTAAGGACAAGGAGACTAATCTCATTTTTTTCCTTTTTGTTTTGTTCTGATCATCTAACATTTAATAGCCTGTGGGCATCCTTCAGACACATTCTCTCTTTAGTTTTTCACATCCAATCACCTCCAATTTGAGTCCGTCGAGTTCTGGGATCAGATACTCTACATCTGCATCATCTTTTAGTGTGCGGGTATAACTGTATGTACAGAAGTTTAAATAATTAAAACGGCCACTCTCCTTTATCCGTTTTGTATCGCAGCTTCCTACTGGCTTTGACTGTGAAACTTCATTGGCAGAACTATTATCTGCGGATGTAGTTGAAGTAGCCTTATTAGTATGGTCGTTATGGCACTGGAATCAATGGACTTTGTTTTTGTTCTTTCTATTTTATTTGTTTAATAATATGTTTTCTTATATTTTGTAGTATATTACTGTTTTTTTTTTTATTCTTTTACAAATTATTAGTTTATTATTACGAGTGGCGGGAGTGGTGGGAGTATATTCAAGCCCATAGCGCTCTGTGAAAACCATGTCTTTTTTGATAAATAATATGTGAACACTCGGTGCCTCATCGTTCACACGTTCTTTCTCGGAGATACAGCCCTCAATGAGGAGAAACTGCTTTATGTAAACATGCTGCTAAAACACATTAAAATAGCCACTGTGTATATGTGAACTTATTATATATATTACTTAACTTAACTTAATATATTACTTTTTTTCTTCCAGAGGTTTACAAAATGCCGGAATTAAAGCAATTAAAACAGGAAGTTTCAGAAATATTGGAGCCATGTCTGCTGTGTAAGGAAAAGTTGTTTGGGTGGGAATGTTGAAAGGGATTAATAATTATACTACAGCCCTATAAAATATTATTTGCCATTACTTATCGTTTTTTTCCCAGATCGTTAAGTACGAACTCTATTAAGTACCTTCCACCGAGATTTATTAATGCAAGTTTTTTAATAAAGTTGTAAGTATTGATACTAACGTTTATTTTTTTTAGCTTGTGACGAAAAAACAATCAATGATTATTTGTGGTTTACAGTGTAATGATAGACAACATGTATCGTAGTGTATGAAATGTTTGTTTTTATGCTTTTTTAATGGTCAGAATTAATGTTTTTTTTAAATTGATTTTAGATTAAACGTCGAAAAAGACCTGTTATCATAAGGTTTACAATAATAATAGCGATTATACAGTCCGCCCTTCAATTTGAGACGCCTAATTCTGAGACCTCTCTAATTCGAGACCACTTTTTCGAAGTACCAACTGACCACTTATCTTTTAACAAAGAGCTCACCTTCTAATTACGAGACCCCTCTAATTCGAGACCGAAACCACCTATATGAAAGTACCATGTGACAAAATGACCTACTCAAGACCACATTTGAAAATTAAAAAAAAAAACAAAAACATTCAAGTTTTTTTTAACAATAAATATTGCATATTTTAAGAAATTAACTTCAACATTATAACAGTATGTATTTTCATAAGTACTATCTTTAAAAAAGGTAGTCTTTAAAACGATTTTTGAAAAGTTTAGGCCACTGGCTGTTATAAAGTTTTCAGTAAATGTTTTACAACGATCTGTTTGCACCTCTTGCAAAAACGTGTTAAATCAGCTACTCATCCCTAATTTAATACAGTCCTATGTTTCTGATTTTCTTCCTCAGCTACTAAATTCCTGCACAAACCCGGCTTCCGTAGCCAAGGGGGAGGGGCAAGGCAATGTCAGCT